AGGATCCGGGCTGCTCTGTGCAAAACCACTGTACTCAGCAGGTAAGTACTATGACATTTTTTGTTTTTAATTTAAGCCTTTAAAATCACCTTAATTTATACTACAATATAACACTTTGTACATTTAATGTCTTCCTTTAATGGGGGGGAAGCCAATATGCAAGCCAGGACCCCATATCCTTCACACCCTCCCCTTCCACTGATTCGAGCTGACCAACAATACAGTTGCAGAACATATACATATACTTTGCTCTTTATTCCTGATAGAAGTCCAGTTCACACCATGTTACTTCTGTACCATGCGATCCGGTGCAGGCAAACTCGCTGCGTTTTGTAACCTGCGTTTGGGGTGTTGTTACATTAACAGTGACACCCGCTGCAGATCGCAGTGGTGTGTTTTGAACATGGTGCTGGAAATGCGCATATAAAGTGCGTTTCCTGGTCCGCGTTCTGGTGTGAACTCGTCCTTACAGTTGCTCAGGAGTGGCATGCTGAGGAGGAAGTATGGCTACCTGTAGCTGGATTAATGATTGAAATCCATATATGTGAATTGTTCCACCTGCCAAAGGTGCAGTTCTGTTCAGCCAGTCTTGCAAACCCATTCACATGCTGCGTAGACAGGTGGATGACACCGCTTTCTTTATTCAATAGCAAAGACTTCCTCCCTGCTCTAGCCTGCTAATTGGACAGTGAAGGAGCCACAGCCCTTTTTGAAGTCTTTTTTTTTTTTTTTTTTTTTTTTTTTTTTTTTTTTTTCCTCCTGTAAGCTTGTTTATAGTGTTAGACTGATGTCTGTATAAACCTGGTAAGCTGATGGCAATGGCATTTCCTTTCTCTGTCTGAGTTCAAAGTGCAGAGGATTACATGAAGCTAATATGCATAGACATATTAGAGCTAAACTTTTCACACTGTATTTAACCACTTCCCGTCTGGCCCATGTATATAAACGGCCGAACGGGAGCAGTGCAGGGGCGGGTGGTCGTTTATAAATGTCCTCCCTGCTTGTGTTCGCTCTCTGGGAGCACGCAGCACTGCGATCCGGTGCCCGCTGTGTCCAGAGGACACAGCAGAACACAGATTGTTGTACGGGACATCTGTGTGAGGTCCTGATCATGTGATCACTGATTGGCCAATCAGTGATCACATGAATAGTAGTAAGTAAGCAAGATGTCACTTCTGACATCATTGCTTACTACTAGTGAAATCTGTGAATGATCACAGAGGTCACATGGTACAAGGCTATTCACAACAGTCTTGTACCATGTGACAAGCTGTGACCAATCACAGTTCACACAGTATTTCTCAAAGGCTGCAAGAATGCAGCCAGAGAGAAAGGAGACATTTTTTGGGGCACGAAGTAGAGCCCGGAATACATGGTGGGGGTGCCATTACCCCGGGGTGTGTGGAAGCAATTGGGGCAGCAGCCCGACTGCTTAACCCCCACCCCTGCTCCCGCTGTCAGATCTGTATGACGTACAGACCTGGCAGCGAAAGGGTTAAATCCAGAACTTTTTGTAGATTTGAATAGAGTAGGGGAAGGGTTAAAACCTGCTGTCGGTTTGAGGAAATTTCCTTTCATTGCCTGTTCCAGAGACGCAACAGGAAGTTAGAGGAAATCTCCCAAATGCAAGGATTGCCCTCTTAGACTGCTGTCTCCAAAAACAGGTGTCCACATAGGGAGATTTCCTCTCACATCTTGTTCTAGGACAACTATAAAATTTTGTAACTCCCCTCATTAATTCTTGGTGACCATCATTGCTATAAAATAAAAGTAGAGAATCACTCCAATGGGGGCACAGACATCTATATGAACTTTGACAACCTCTCCATCCTTCACTAAAAAAAAAATTTTTTCTCTATAAATACACTTAAAGTGAATTGTGATTGGTCGCTGTGAACAACTGCACTGCAGTACCGGGTATTGCCAGACTGTGGGACTGCAAGCAAAGTCTAGATCTGCAGTAGGGTCATGTAAGAACACAGCATTAGGTTCATTCATTCATTTCCTTTTCTGTGTTTTTTTTATAGGGACAGTGACAAAAAGCAATGAGGTGTTTTGCACTGAGATGTACCAGTATGACAACGTCATGTTTCATCAAGGGAGAAAATGTCAGACGTGTCTCCTGATGAAGCCAGCGAGATCAAAGCACTGCGGTGAGAACCTTTTATCTGGAGAACAGAGAATTTGAAGAAACAATTACAGGAAAGGTGATAGCAGTCAGTCACTCATGTCAGCCAGAGACCAGCAACACTGATCTCTGCACTACACAAGTACCAATAGACATCAAAAGGAAGCCAGGACTTCAAGAAAGAACTTCCTATTGCTGAGTCGCTTTAAAGGTGCAGAGTGTGTGTGTGTGTGTGTTGTGTGTTCACTAAGATGCCCATCTAAGTGTTTGTGTTGTGTGTTGTGTGTGTGTGTGTAAACCATCAACACTTCCTGTGTGTGGAAGGAAGTCCATATCCTTACTGCTCTGACAGTAAAGAACCCTTTATGCAGTTTAAGTTTAAATGGGTCAGGGGTCATGCAGCCTCATAAGACAGTCAGAAAAAATGAAAGCTCCTCCTATAAGATAAACAAGTGCTCAGCTGGACACTGATGGAAGTCACAAGATGCTCTTACTGCTCTGATGAGAAAAGTATTTTAGCAGTTTTTTTGTATTTGCTAAAATAATTGCATTTCCATGCACTGTGGGAGAACAGATATAGTGAATGCAGGGTCCGGGGAGAACAGAATATAGTGAAAAGCTCCCTATAAGAGAACAAGATATAGTGGAATGCAGGGTCTGGGGGAGAACAGATATAGTGAAATGCTGGGGAGACCGGAGGTATAGTGAATGCAGTTTTTATATAGTGAATGCAGGGTCCGGGGAACGGATATAGTGAATGCAGGGTCGGGGGAGACCGGATATAGTGAATGCGGGTTCTGGGGAGACCGGATATAGTGAATGCTGGGTCGGGGGGACCCATGCGGGGGAGACCGGATATAGTGAATGCGGGGTATCCGAGGGGAGACCGGATATAGTGAATGCGGGGCGGGGTCCAGAGAGACCGGATATATGAATGCGGGGTATCCAGAGAGACCGGATATAGTGAATGCGGGGGGGAGACCGGATATAGTGAATGCGGGTATCCAGGGAGACCGGATATAGTGAATGCGGGGTATCCAGAGGAGACCGGATATAGTGAATGCGGGTATCCAGAGAGACCGGATATAGTGAATGCGGGGTATCCCGAGAGAGACCGGATATAGTGATATGAATGCGGGGTATCCGGGAGAGACCGGATATAGTGAATGCGGGGTATCCGGGGAGACCGGATATAGGGAATGCGGGGTATCCGGGGAGACCGGATATAGTGAATGCGGGGTATCCGGAGAGACCGGATATAGTGAATGCGGGGTATCCGAGAGACCGGATATAGTGAATGCGGGTATAGTGAGATGCGGATATAGTGCATGCAGGGTCCGGGGAGACCGGATATAGTGCATGCGGGGTATCCGGGGAGACCGGATATAGTGAATCCTGGGTTTAGTAACACTTTAAATATAAAACTTTTCCAAACAGAAGTATGGTGGCCACCTTCTGAAAATATTCCTGGCCTTCTGGCTTCTGTTCGTTCTGAGTCACTGAGCAGGAACAAGTGTGCAGATCTGGAAAGTCAGAAGTCGTTATTGGCATACTTGTTCTGTGTTAGTGATTCAATCTATTAAAGAAAGACAATCAGCATGACAGCCAGGCAAATAGCACTTGCTGAATAATACCTCAGCAATGGCAGCCTACATGCATCTCTCTAGAAAGAAAGGTTTATTTCAAGAAAATCTCATATTATTTATGGATCCCTACATGTAATATCAGATTCTTCATGCAGTGCCTCCTGCTGGTGAAAATATGGTATTGCAACTCAATCGTGAAACCAAGATTCCTTTTTAGAGTATCACGCTGGGGTCAATTCGATCAAGTAGTGCAAACAAACACACTGTTATTTAAAAGGAATGTCTGAGAGCTTGCATCCCTCCACTTGACTATATAAAGAAGTGCCAATAAAATATGTTGTGTGCTTTTTTTTTTTTTTTTCTGTATTAGAGCAGGAAACAGGACAGGGAGTGATGGAAAAACCAACATTTTATAGTTTTCTCTGTAACAGGAATAGAGGGAAAATCCTTGCAATACAGACACCTGACCAGTTACAACTATCTAGGAAGATTTTTCCTCACTTAGGAGAGCTTCCTCAAAGGGACCCAATGGAAAAAAAAAAACAAAAAAAAAAATTGATGGGTCCTTTTTTAACCGCTTCCCAACCGTCCTATAGTAGAAGTACTGCTACAGAGCGGCAGGGCTGCGCAAAATCAAGTGTGTGTGTGTGTGTGTGTGTATATGTATGTGATTTCGTATTTCCTGTGTAGGGGGGGCGCACGCGCGCACCACCCTACCCACGCTGCTGCAGCTACAGCTGTCGATCACTGGGTCCTGGCTGGAGATTCGCCACCGGCACCCGATGATCGCTGAGGAACACTGACAGAGGAGAGGTCTGTATGTAAACAATACAGATCTCTCCCCTGTCAGCTCCTGCATACTGCTTTGTATGGCTATGCATAGCAGAACCATACAAAGCAGCATGCTTACGCAGTAAAACACACACACAAAAATAGTAAAACAGCACACTGTTAATCCTTTGATCGCCCCAGAAATAAATTTGGGGTTTTTGATATAATAGTAAAAACTTTCATTAACCTCTTTTTGTATGATCTCTTTAGGTTTTCTGCTTTATTAGCTGATCCTCTCTTTAAGTCTAGCTTTTGTTTCGTCTGAGATTTTAGCTCATTGTATTGGTGTGTAAGAGGCCCTGAATATCACATATGGTAATCTTCTTATAGGTGTATGCAATGTCTGCGTGGAGCGATTTGATCATCACTGTGTGTGGGTTAACAACTGCATTGGAGCCCAGAATATAAGATGCTTCTTCCTCTACCTGGTCAGTCTGTCTTTCACAGCTCTGTCAATGGCTGGAGTCATTGCAGCATTCCTCCTGCAGGTGGTTCTGTTGTCACATATGATGCACGCAGCCTATAAGGACAGCGATGGCCATGAACAGTTGGTTGGCATTGTTTTCATCATTCAGGTAGGCTGCATGAGTTTTAAATGGTATACAAATCTTAATGCTGCAAAACTATTAAAGTATAACAAAAGGCGATTTTTTTTTTTTCACTGTGAAGAAACCTTTAATTGTTTGGAGATTAAATTTCTTTTCCTCCAGATGTAAAGAGTGCCCCCTTGTCCTCTGTGATGACCTCAGGGTGAATAACTACATCGAGTTCACTATATTAACCACCGATGTATTTATGCATAGAGATCATATCCCCCCTTATGTATTATACATGGAGATCATATCCCTCCTTATCTATTATACATGGTGATCATATCCCCCCTTATGTATTATACATGGAGAGATCATATCCCCCCTTATGTATTATACATGGAGATCATATCCCTCCTTATGTATTATACATGGAGATCATATCCCCCCTTATGTATTATACATGGAGATCATATCCCCCCCTTATGTATTATACATGGAGATCATATTCCCCCTTATGTATTATACATGGAGATCATATCCCCCCTTATGTATTATACATGGTGATCATCATATCCCTCTTATGTATTATACATGGAGATCATATCCCCCTTATGTATTATACATGGAGATCATATCCCCCCTTATGTATTACACATGGTGATCATATCCCCCTTATGTATTATACATGGAGATCATATCCCCCTTATGTATTTACACATGGAGATCATATCCCCCCTTATGTATTACACATAGAGATCATATCCCCCCTTATGTATTATACATGGAGATCATATCCCCCCTTATGTATTATACATGGTGATCATATCCCCCTTATGTATTATAGATGGAGATCATATCCCCCCCTTATGTATTATACATGGAGATCATATCCCCCCTTATGTATTATAGCTGGAGATCATATCCCCCCCTTATGTATTATACATGGTGATCATATCCCCCCTTATGTATTATACATAGAGATCATATAACCCCTTATGTATTATACATGGAGATCATATCCCCCCCTTATGTATTATACATGGAGATCATATCCCCCTTATGTATTATACATGGAGATCATATCCCCCCTTATGTATTATACATGGAGATCATATCCCCCCTTATGTATTATACATGGAGATCATATCCCCCCCTTATGTATTATACATGGAGATCATATCCCCCCTTATGTATTATACATGGAGATCATATCCCCCCTTATGTATTATACATGGAGATCATATCCCCCCCTTATGTATTATACATGGAGATCATATCCCCCCCTTATGTATTATACATGGAGATCATATCCCCCCTTATGTATTATACATGGTGATCATATCCCCCCTTATGTATTATACATAAAAACACACCCCCTTGAGGTTTCCTCATCATGCTGCTTGGACTTACAGGAGACTGCTGCAGAGAAAGGTGCCATGTAATTGCATGATCAGCATTCTCTGCAATGTTCAAGGCTGCCTGCCATTGGTGGACAGAAGTGGAAGAAAGGGGACCTTGCGTGTTGTGATTGGACAGAAGACACCGAAGATGTTTATAAACATTAATTTTAACACAAATGCTGGGAGGTTGCTAGATTGGAATCGCTCCCTGCAGGAGCAGATTGTATCATGCTTTGCTAAGTTTTTTTTTTTTTTTTGTTTGTTTTGCCTTCCTCTGGATCAACTGTGGGTATAGGATTGTGACTTTTATTTTCTTAATGGTTGAACTGGATGGACTTTTGTCTTTTTTCAGCCAAACTAACTATGAATTGGGATTTAAGTAAGGTGAATTTGTGTGCTCTAATTCTCCACACACCAGAACGGATTGCCTTTTGTGAGATTTGCTATTGTGTTTTTGTTTCCCCAGCACCTCTTCCTGACCTTCCCGCGGATTGTCTTCGCTCTGGGATTCCTGCTCATGCTTACTCTCCTACTAGGTGGCTACACCTGCTTTGTGTGTCACCTCTGCGTCACCAACCAGACCACCAATGAGTGGTACAAGGCCCGAAGTCTCAGCTCCTCATCAGCATCTGCTAGGACTTACTCCAGAGGCATTATGGGTAACTTGAGGGAGGTTTTCCAGCCTTATAGGAGTTGTAACAAGAAGAGATGAGACTGTGATGGCAGTGACTACAATAGTCAAAGGGCACCAGTCACATATTATGCAGGATGCCTGGTATGAACCAACACTCAGACCAATGCCACAATGACCGTTCTAGTTCTGAGTGAATGAATGGCCTGAAGTACCTGGCCTTCACACATCATGGCTGCTACAGGTGGGGAAATGGGACATCGTATGGAGAATAATAACTTCCAAAGATTCACCATTCCTTGTATATTTCATGGCACTGGCCCATCACTTAACCAGAGAACATTAAATACCTGCAGTGCAGAAGATTCGCTTTTGGTGGAGCTGATGATGAAACATTAGGAAAAAAATGTTTATAGCCAACCATCAATTGCACTAACAAAATCCATCCCCCCCTAAAAGGACAAGTTCTCCATAGCCCACCTTAATTTTGTTAGTTTTGAATATGTATAATTCCCCATGTGACCAGACTATTACATACCCTATGGGGTGGGTTTACTAAAACTGGTTCACTCAGAAACTGGTGCAGCTGTGCATGGTAGCCAATCAGCTTCTAACTTCAGCTTGTTCAATTAGACTTTGGCAATAAATCCTGGAAGCTGATTGGTTTTTGCTCCAGAGTTTGCACTCTCCGGCATTCGTAAATAAACCCCTATATGACCAGAAGTATGTGGACACCCTTCCATATTGAGTTCAGGTGTTCCCAGTGAAGGGTAATGCTACAGTATACTCCATTTACAAAGCTAAAAATTGGAACTCCAGTTAAAAGTTTGAAAAAAAAAAACTCCATACAGTTTCTAAAAGTAAATACACATTGGGCACTTTCTGTGGTGCACGTGTTGTAATTCTGGAAGCTCTTATGCATTGTTTTGGTCAGTCCAGCTCGGACATCGGTGTATGTGTAGTCCACACCCACTGTCCATAGAGATCTGTGTTTTTGCTGGCACCAGTCAAAAAAAAAGAAAAAAGAAAGGTACCGTTGAATCAATTTTCATAAAAAAAAAAAAAAATGAATGACCTTAACCACTTCTCAACCGCCCGTTTCATATAAACGGCCGGACGGTGGCAGTGCAGGGTCGGGTGGCCGTTTATAAACGGCCTCCCCGCACCCTGCTTGTGCAAGCTCCCTGGGAGCGCGCAGCACCGCGATCCGGTGCCCGCTGTGTCCTCCGGACACAGTGAAACACTGATCGTCGGACGGGACCTCTGTACGAGGTCCCGATCATGTGATCACTGATTGGCCAATCAGTGATCACATGCAAAGTAGTAAAGCAAGATGTCAATTGTGACATCATTGCTCACTACGTGTGAAATCTGTGAATGATCACAGAGGTCACATGGTACAAGCCTATTCACAAAAGCCTTGTACCATGTGACAAGCTGTGACCAATCACAGCTCATTCAGTACTTCTCAATGAGTGCAAGAATGCACACAGAGAGAAAGAGAAATGATTGCTTTTACATCCTATATGGGTGTAAAAGCAATTGGTGTGAAAAAAAAAAAAAAAAAAAAAAATCTTCATCACCCCCCACAAGTAGTACAGTGTCACCATGGTGACACTGTATTGCTAGGGTGACAGTATGTAAAATAAATAAACAATATAAAAATGTAAAAAAATGTTTAAAAATGATAATTTTTGGTTATAAACTAATTTGTTTTTTTTTTTTTTTTTTTTTTACTAAAAAGATAACGGAATAAATTTTGGCAAAGATTTATGATGAAATATTATTTATTTGCAAAATTTTATAAAAAAAAAAACACTTTTGTTCAAAATTTTGGGACTTTTTCATTTACATAGCAAAAAAAATTAAAATCCCAGCGGTGAATAAATACCACCAAAATAAAGCTTTATCTGTCTCAAAAAATGGTAAAAAATTAATTTGGGTACAGTGTTGCATGACCGTGCAATTGTCATTCAAAGTGTGATAGCGCTGAAAGCTGAAAATTGGCCTGGTCAGGAAGGGGGTAAAAGTGTCCGGTCTGGAAGTGGTTAATAAAGCACTGGGATGTTTTTTTGACTTGGGGCCCATTTACACCAGAAGGTCATACAAGAAAGGTGCGTTCCATGTGTATTTCCCGCACCATATTCAAAACACACTGCCATTGTGATCTGCTGCAAGTGCCAACACATTGTCAGTGGCATGCCAAATGCAGAGTCTTTGCTGGCACCAGATCGCATGATACCGCAATATTTTTGCGTTGTGGTGTATTTTGGATATTTTTTTATAAATATTTATTGGTTTTCAATCAGATATAATTAACAAACATTTTCTTCATTAAATAATCATTATATTCCTCATAATTTATTTAATTCCCACAACCCTAATTCCCTCCTAAGCCCCTCCCCGCCCACGCCCATCCTCGTATCCCCCCTCCATCCCACTCTGCCTTTTCTTTTCTAATCCGAGAGAGAAAAAAAAAAAAATATATATATATATATATATAGCGCTATCCTTTTCTTTCTAAAACTCATTTCTAAAATACATTATTCGTTTCAAGAGGTATAAATCAACTATATTTCACTTTCTGTCTAAATTCTTCCCATTTTCCCCACTTTTTATGGTACATCTCCATCCCGTCTATGTGAGGCAGGGCCCTCCTAACCCTCTTCTATCGAATTGTACTGGAACTAGACTTTCTCCAGTACTGTCTGTTTTGTAAAGCACGCGCCCCTTACCCGGAAATGCAAAATCACGTATATATACGTGATTTTGCACACCCGTGCCGCCCTGTAGCAGTATTTTTGCTATAGGGTGGCAAGGAAGCGGTTAAAAAAAGGCTGCCTAACAAGTCAAAATGTAGCAAAAAGGTACATGTACTATTTTCTGTAATGTAGTGCACTACAACACACAGCAGATCATAACTGTGTGCTGCAACGTATGTTCATCAGCAAAGTGTGTTGGGGCGCCATTTAGGAGGTAATAAACCACCCTAAACTGGGCAAAATATGTTTTTCTTGTGTCCCAGTTGTAGAAATAGAAAACGGTTGGCGCACACACCTAGTGCATTATCCAAGGTTTATTGTAGGAGTGAAAGAATAATAAAAACATACTCACAGACGAAGCATGTATCTAAAAAGCATAGAAAAATGACGATGGCCACAACGGCAGACAAGGTGTTCTCACTGTCAGTGCGATCAAATGGCTGACACGTTTGGGGACGAATCCCTTTCCTCAGAGCTGATGACCAACCTCTGATGCTGATGTATGATGAATGGAAAGTAAGAGCCTTGCTGTTGATGCCTCAGCCATTTGACCGCACTGACAGTGAGAACACCTTGCCTGCCATTGTGGCCATTGTCATTTTTCTATGCTTTTTAGATACATGCTTCGTCTGTGAGTATGTTTTTATTATTTCACTCCTACAATAAACCTTGGATAATGCACTAGGTGTGTGCACCACCTGTTTTCTCTCTATCCAGTGGCTGATTTCCCCGTCTGAGGAGGGCTGCACCCCTGAAGCATTTCCTTTAGTTGTCGCTGTCCTGGTACCCTTGGCTTCCCTTTTGGCTGTGCATATCCTGAGGCGCTGGAGTGTACATGTGATATCCAGTTGTAGAAATGTTTGTCACTTCTTGCCCCTGATAGCAAATCATTAAAAAAAAATGAAGACTTATAGTAGCCCTTTTCCACTCTATTGAAAATATATTTTGGCTGAAGTTGGTCTCCCCCTTTAGAACAAATGCTTTAAAAATGAATAAGGCATCTGCTACAATTTCCTGCATGCAGATTAGTCTTCTATATAACAAAGTAAATGAATATATATATATATATATATATATATATATATATATATATATATATATATATATATATATATATATATATATATATATATAATTTATTGAATTGTTTATGTTTACGCTCCTTAGATTTCTGTCATGGCGGGATTTGGGGTGTTTGTGGTCGGTAGGGGTCTATGGAGGCCCCCCTCTAGGGCTGATGGCCTTCTTCCCCTCTTGGCCCTTTCCTTCACTTCCCTTCTTTTCTATTTGAGTGGTCTATGGCCCTCCTTCCATTATTTCTTATCTTGCATATTTAATGGTACTTAGAGTAATCTCATGGAATGTCCGAGGTTTAAACCATAAATTTAAACGGTCCCTAATGTTTACATTTCTCCAATTTCACAAACCACATATTTTTTTTTTTTTTTTTTTTGCAAGAAACTCATCTCCTGGGTAGCAAAATTTTATCCCTCCCGTAGGGCCTGGGTGCAACAGGCTTTTTCATGCTACGTATTCTAGTTATGCGAGAGGGGTTGCTATACTCTTGAATAAATCTGTACAGTGTACTGTAGTGCAGGTATGTTTAGATCCTGGGGGCAGATTTATCATTTTAATCCTAGAGATTTGCAATGTGAAATATTCTTTTGTCAATTTTTTTTTTGCCACCACCTTCTCTGCTGAGGTATTATATAAGATACAGGAACAGCTGGCCCCGATACATGTCTCTGAGGTGATTATTGCTGGTGACTTTAATACGGTATTTGACGTCTCTTTGTCCTCCTCGAACCCTAGGAGGACTGTCTGTCCGGATTTGGAGATATGGTCCCAAACCTTTGTTTGACTGAGCTGTGGAGGCTTCAACATCCTGGGGTATGATACTAATGTTTCTCGGCAGCTCACAGGTTGGCCTCTAGAATTGATATTGCATCTGGCTCTTGTTCATTGTCTAAGTCAGTGCAGAGGATCGCTTACCTACCGGCAGGTATCTCTGATCATTCCCCACTAGAGTTGACATTGAGGTTAGGAAACGGGAGACAACCAAGATGTTGGAGACTGGATCCTATGTGGATTCGCATCACAAAAGTACAAGAGTTGTTGTCTGGGTCCTGCTCACAGTTTTGGGAAATTAATGCTCAGTCTGCCTTCCCTCTGTTAGTTTGGGACGCTTTCAAAGCTTATACACGAGGGCATTATATCTCGGCCATTAAATCAGCAAGGAAGGATTTCACCAGCACCACTTCCGTTTGGAACGTAATGTTGCCAATATGGTTTATAAATTCACGGGCTCCCTTACTGAGG